TCATGCCTAGAGCTGATCCATGCTGGTCGCTGAGGAAATACATCAACTTTGCGCTGTGGATCGCCGGATCGGCTTTCCCCGTGGACGAAGCGGAGTCCAGCCCGGGGTCGTCACATGTGGTTGCCGCAAGCCCGCCGGCCACTCCTTCATCGAATCCACCGGCCGCGCCGTTCTCAAGCCCGCTGGACGTTCCTCACTCAAGCCTGCCTGCCTCTGCTCACTCTAGCCCACAGGCCTCCGCTCACTCTAGCCTGTCGTGTGTGACGCTGTGTGTATCGTTGTGAAAGCGAAACTACTTTGTTTGGCCTTCCAAAAGAGGACACGACTAGAAATCAGTGGTTAAGTTGTATTTACAACACTGTTCCAGAACAGACAGTAAAAAGACAGTATATGTCATTATAATCCATAATTATGTCCCCACTGGATGCAACAAATGCCTCATTTATAATGTGTTTTAATGTTTTTGTCTCGTCGCTCCGGCCGGACAGGGCATCACAGTATGGAAAGGGGCATAACATTTTCGTCACACGCTTTAGGTATTCAGCCAATCACAATGCACTGGATAGCTGGCCAATCAGAGCACACCTCGCTTTTCAGACCGATGAGCTTTGTAGAAAATAAAAATAGACGCGTTTCAGAAAGGCGGCTTAATAAATGCACTGTAACTAAACCCATTAGATTTTAGCAGACTACATTTACTGTAGATTTAGTCGACTAAAATCGTATCATATTTAGTCGACTAAAACTAAAAACAATTCAGATGACCAAAATATGACTAAAACTAAATGGCATTTTAGTCAAAAGACTATGACTAAAACTAAATCAAAATTTGCGGTCAAAGTGAACACTGGTATGAACTATCAACAAACCACAACAACTGAACAATTTTAAACTAATTTTAAAGCATTTATTATTCTGAGCTAATCTTAAAAAAATATACTTTTGTTCATTAATTCATGTTTGATCATAATACATTAAATGTAAATTCCGTTAGCATTCGGTCACATGTCGATTCAAACCCAAATCCAAGTGTTTCATCTTTAAAATACGAATGAAGATATGTATGCTATTTTCTCATCATTTTTTCCCATCCACTCAAAGTTTGCATTTGCATGCTTCAAAAACTACAATGACATTGTAAAAGTATCAGTGTAAAAGACAGTGTAAAAGTATTGTAAAAGTAAAAGTGGCTTCCAGAAGGAAAAAAAAAATTATTGTTCATTGTTAGTTCATGATACCTAGTAGTGCTGGGCGGTATGACCACCGGTATTTTAAAAATTCATATCATAACAAAAATAAACACCGGTATTCGGTATGAACCTGTATACCGCCCAGCACTAATACCTAGTGCATTAACTAATTTAACATTACTGTAAAGTGTTTTCAAAACTACAATGCACAAGACGCTGGATACAATACAATACAATATGGATACAAATAAGGGGTGACACCTTAAAAGGACATGTAAGGCTGCAGGGATGGTAATTGTATTGTGGTTTTACCATGCAGCAATACTAAATAAATAAATAAAAATATGTCCTATTTGATCTCACCCAATAGTCAACAAGACAGCCATTATGACCCATTCCTAGTTGACACAATATACAAAAGCATATTTCAGTTGAGTTCCACCAGAGAATATGCACTTCTGCATTGCATACTTCATTTTGATCAGGGGAGACAGTAAGAAATATAACCTAATTTAGGATTGGCATGTGTGTTAACTGTGCAAAGTTTTTTTGGCCTACTTGTCTCGTGGCGGTTCACTGCGGGAGCGTGAGGCGGGCATCGTATCTGCTCCTTTGGTGGGGTCACCAGCACCAGCGCTGGGTGGAAGAGTGTTGTTAGTGACCGGAGCCTGTGATCTGGAGCGCAACTTCCTGTCCTTCTCCAACTCAGGGACACTCAGGGGAGCGCCCACACTAAGAGGCCTCCCCCCAGGCCCTGATGAAAACCATTCTCCTGATTTAGTTAGGATTTCCTGTTGTTTCCTGCACAGGTTACATACCCACATCACCTGCACAGACAAATACAAGTGTTATTAAGGCAGGCAGAGATTGTTGATCATTGTAAATGAACAAGATGTACAGTACAGCTAATATATTAGGCTTCAGAATACTTGAATTACATTGTTTTAAACATTCTCCTATAGTATTTAAAAAAACATTTAAAGTAAGTCATAGAGACAGAGAGATATACATAAACACATAAAGTACTTAGATACAGTACATCCACACACTATCAAACATAACAAACGTTGGACTTTCATTAGCTACATTTAGCTAGCATCATTTCAATGTAGCAATTTCTTTGAGCGATAGGCAAGGAATATGAACTGACAATGTTGAGCAGGTATAAATAAGAGCTGCAATATTACAGAATTGAGTCAACCACACTAAACAATCAAGCTCTGTAAAGTATAAAAGTGTCTATTTTCAAGTCAGTCAGTCTAGGCCTACTTCTTTATGTTTGATTCCTACACCTGCTGGATTGCGCTAATTGCTGTTGGCAGATATACAGTATTTTGAAAAGTCATTCAAAGGTTGTAGATCTAGTATTCCCAGTACAAGTCTTGAAAGCTGGTAGTACCTAAAAACCCCATAAATACTTTGACAAAAACAGTTTTCCACTTAGTTCTTACTGAAACAGGACATATCGTAATGTTTCAAAGCTCTTGAAGACTTTTTCTATCCCTATTGTAGTTTTCAAGACACTTAAATGCAAATGAAAACTTTGTCATCATGACATTTCAAACCCATAAGACTTACGTTTATTTTTGGAACGCAAATGATGATATTTTTAATATTTGCCCATCCATTGAAAGTCCATGATGTTACGAAAACTTTCACACTTTGAAAGTATTGATCAGCGCACATACATACAGTCAAACCAAAAATTATTCAGACACCAGATATAATTTTTGATATTCTTTTACTAGTGGGTGCATACGGTGGCCGAGAGAGCTCAACGTGCTGCAAATGAAAAAACACATGCAAAACAACCAAAGGCAAAAACGCGCGGCAAATTCTCACAACACAAACAAATACAGAAACGCGCTGCAAATTCTCACAACACAAACAAATGCAGAAACGCGCTGCAAATTCTCACAACACAAACAAAAACAGAAACGTGCTGCAAATTCTCACAACACAAACAAAAACAGAAACGTGCTGCAAATTCTCACAACAAATCTGTCACGTTAATTAAAAATATCTCAATTTATGTTTCGAAGATGAACGAAAGTCTTATGGGTTTGGTGAGTAAATTAATACTCACCAACACTCACACTTCAAAATTATTCAACTTTCTTGACCTGCAAGACATTCTGCTGCTGTGAACAATTTTTTTTTTTTTGAAAATATAAACTATAATAGAAAATGTATTAATATACATTTGAGTGATTCTGAAAACAAAGTTGATGAAAAATAAAACAAAACAATAAAAAATAATAATAATTAGATCAACTCCAAGTGCTTTGCAGCTTCTGAGACCTGTCTACTGGAATCTTGGACCATTTCTCACATACATAAGCTTCCATGTTTGACTGTGAGGATGGTGTTCTTCTGCTCATAAGCCTTGCCTTTTTTGGACCAGACATACCACTGATAATGAGTCCAAAAAGTGCCAATTTGGTCATATCACTCCATTAATCATTATTCCAGAATTCCACAGGTCTACCCAAATTAATTTGAACATATTCAAGTCAGCCTTTTACTGTATGTTTTTTCATGGTCAAGAGTGCCATTCAGCAAGGTGTCCTGACATGAAGGCCATGCTTGTCTAGCTCTTCATGCTTCTTGTAAGTCTTTGGCAGTAAATTGAGGGTTTTGTAAGAGCTCTTTTGACTTATTCGCTACTCAACTTTAGCATATGCATGGGCTAAATTTATGTGTTACAACTTAAGCTAATTCAGTCTTGTTATAGAGTTTCCATATACTTAGTTGTGTACCGTACCGGAGAAATAAGTTCTTTAAAAACAGCAGTGCTAATTAATTTTGACATAGCTGTATTACCAATAAAATAAAATAAATAAATGAATAATGAATAAATAAAATACTATACTATCAAAATATTACATTATATATTTACATTATCACTTTTAATATGCTATTAAACTGTTGTAGATGCAATAAAAAAATATGTAACTTCAGAAAAGCTTACATTTGTAAATTATAATATATCTTGAATAATATTGAATAATTGTGGTTCCACGTGTATATATATGAATAGGAAGTAACAGAAATCTGAAATAAAAAATGTAACCTTACTGTAAAATATTTCCAAAACTGCAATGCGCCTACTGTAGGAGCACAAGGAGTGTCATAACAGCCAAAAATACATGTATGGCTGTAGGGACAGTAACTGTACCATGGTTTTACAGTGCGAGTGCGTCTGGTAGCATGCTAATTAAAACACCACTGCTAGAATACCAATACTAAACAAATATAAATAAGAAGAAATCAAATTTAATCAAAAGTATTTGTTACAATGGAGATTAACTATCTTCTGAATAGGAAGTAATAGAAATCAGCCATCCTTTTTCTTCATCTGGGTAGATTTTTGCAATGCAAATGCACAAGTTATTATATCATTAGTCTCATATTTGTCAATCTGCCTTCTCCCATCTCTTTCCTTTTCCCCAATGAAGCCCTATTATTGAGCCCTGTAATGGTTCATTCATGAGATGGATGGCTGAGGCTGCCTAAAATACCTTCGCTGACACCATATTTCTTCATTTCCTCTACCCATATTTCTCCCACCCTCTCTCTTACACTCCCTCTCTCTCACTTTTTTTTTTTTTATCTAGCCAGCTAGACAGGCCTGATCTGACATGATTAGCGGGAATGCTAAATCAAATGAACAGCTCTTCCCTTGACAACAAGATCATGCCTTTAAAAGCACAGAGGTCCAATCTATTGATGTAGTATTTGATTCTTAAAGCACTCTTAGAATAACAGTAAATCCACTCCTATTTTAATACATGACAGCTGTCATGGCTGCAGGAAACATTTGGACGAGAAGAACCCTTATTTTTTTTACTGATTTCAGTGATTCTACAAGCTTGGAAAGAAAGCCAAAGGTCTGTGAGATACAGAAATATATAAATCGCATGCACACCCTGCAACCGACACTGCATGTTTTATCGATTAGATGAATGGTGTGAGAACGGAAAAGCAGACATCCTCTGAAAAGCCTGTAACATTAGTCATCTTTAGCACCTGATGATCAGTCGCAAATGGGTTATGAAAGCAGGAGCTTAAAACAGGATATTTTGCAACAGACACAGCTAAAATACTTCATTTCGAGTTCTGCGATGTTATGACAGAGGTTTGATATTTCATACAAGTTCAAATGAAAATAGTATGACTTCTAATGGTGGCAAACTAACTATTTCATGCTACTCACATGGCGGCATCCTCCTAGATATTGGATCCCCTCTCACAGGGTCAACCTTCAACTCCATGAACATCCAGAACAAATTTCTTTGAAGAATCGCCAGTGCGAAATACCTTGCCAGCAAATGTGTCGCATTTCGGTGTTGACCTGATCTTAAAGAGGAGAGAGGCTGTTCTAGGACGGGATGGATATGAGGGAGAGTGAGAGAGAAGGGACGAGAGAGCATCATGGCCTGATTGGATCCAGTTGGCACAGCTCCAGCGTAATCTGAGGTAAATCAGTTGTGCAGAGGCCCACAGCTGTCAGCCAGCCAGAGAAACATTCTCAGGAAGGATTAGCAATCCCTGCTAATCCCACCAGACTATTGCTAGCGTTTCCCATTATTCAATCCAGTGACAAGACAATGCTGCCCATGCTCTTCACCTCAACAGCACTCGGAAAATACCACTGCAACAATGCTCTTGAAAAAATGGACCACATACCTTTAGTCGCTCTCAAAATGGAAAAATATGACATGTTCTTATTGATAAACAGAAAGTAATTCACACGTATAAGTGAAAACTGGTTTGGCAGATCATGATCAGAAGGGTTTAAGGAGGAACAGAGAAAATCAACACCTAATAAATGTGAATATGTTTCGTAAAAGACTGCATGCGTAGATAGCTAGATTACTCATGTGCAGTCGAGGATGGGTAAAATAATCCCAGGCTTTAATCCTTGAATTAGATCAAATTCAAGCCGTACGCACAATAGAGGATTCACTTTCTCTCTGATTCATTTCTTATTTTTTTTCTCCAAAGGCTAGTTCACAACAATATCCAGGGCAGCTAAAGCCATTAAAGCTTCTCATCTTGCAAAGGCTTGATTCGCCCCTTTCCCAATTAGAGAACTGAGGAGAAAAGGGAAATAAAAGATTTTAAAATGTAGGCTGCTAAGACCTGGCCATTGTTATGAGAGCGAGAGAGAGCGAGAGAGAGAGAGAGAGAGAGAGAGAGATTAAATCTGAGAGACGACAGGAACAGTGCTCTCACTGTATTCCTGAACAGTATGAATAGGATTTTCATGTCCAGGGAGATCACTAGTAACTAAGTATCAGAAGACCCCATAAAAATCAGACAGTAAACAAGTATAACTTAACTGCAGACCTGAGGTCAGCACATATGGAAAGAGAGAGACAGATGAGGAATTCTGTGTGTGTGTGTGTTTGTGACATATGAGGACATAAATTTGTATAATGACATGGGTATGGCATAGGTATTACAAGGAGAAGGTGACTTGTGAGAACATTACCCCATGTCCCCATTTTTCAAAATGAGCTTTTTTGTAAAGTAAAAATGCGCAAAGTTTCCTGTAAAGGGTAGGGTTAGGTGTAGGGTTGGTGTAGGGCAATAGCACAAACAGTTTGTACAGTATAAAAACCATTACGCCTATGGAATGTCCCCACAATTCACAAAAAAACAAACCTGTGTGTGTGTGTGTGTGTACATTTATATGGGTGTAAATACAATCTCTACTGTTCTCTAAGCATACGTGTGCCAGCCACCCCCTGCTTTGGTGAATACTGTTCTCCATGGTAACGAAATCAGTGAAAGGAGAGGAGACATACAGAGGACAGTGTGAATCTCCAGTACAGAGTGTCACGCATATCACAATTATTTGCTCTTTTTACTCTTGTTGTTGTATGTTTAAACTTCAGTAGCAAAATATTCTTGCTAAGATTGATTAATTGTATTATCCCTATATGAAAAATATTTTTTAAAAGTACCTATGTGGAATTTTACACATATTAAATAGTGTATAATAAATGTATATAGACAAATATGGCTAATAAAACTTGGAAGTATGAACATGTTAAGATATGGTATTCTTTTATGTAAACATTGTTAAGTTTGATTCATTTCTGTAAATCAGTTCAAACTGTTTGTGCCAGTTAATTCAAAACTTGATTCAATTCAATGTCTAATTTGCATTATCACTCAAAAATGTTCAGTTAAGTCCTTATGTGGCAATTTACACATTTAATAGTAACAGCAAAAACATATATAAACAAATCTGGCTAATAAAACTTGTGAGTACGAGCATGTTAAGATATTTGAATAGCTTCTCTAATGTAAACTTTAAGATTGAATTAACTTCTGTAAATCAGTTCAAACTGTTTGTCAGTGAATTTAAAACTGGATTAAATGACTCATTTGCATTATCACTCAAAAATGTTCAATGAAGTCCTTATGTTGCATTTTTTCATATATTAGTATATATTCATTGATAAATGTTAAAACTTAAGATAGATTTTTTTTATTGCGCAGCCCTAAAAGTGAGTAAATAAAACCAAGTGAATTCAATGATATGACTACCTGAAAAGAACAAAAGTAGTGACATAGGTTTGACACTAAAGAGAACTGAATGCAGGTAGGACAGGGAAAAATAAGGCACTCTATTGCATGAGTAGTGGTCTGGGGAAAAGGGCTGGGGCTTAACTGTGCCACTTCAGAAGAAATGGGTTATGAAAAATAACTGCCTTCCTCTCAAAAACTGACAGATCTGCTGACACAGTCTCCATTGCACACCCCATAGAGAAAACTTGCTCATACATCACACACACACACACACACACACACACACGCACGCACATGCACATGCACTGAAGCACTCAAGGGAATTTTAATATTAAAGCATACAGACACCTGTGACCGGCTGCTTAATGTCAGTACCAGTAAAGGGTCATATCATGAAAAACTGATTTGTTCCTTGATCTTTTGAAAAATATTGTAACATCCCACATGAAAAAATACTACAGTAATTTATAGTAAATACTAGTGTATTTGAGCCATACTATTGTCACGGGTTGTCGAGGAATGAGGACAGCAAACGAAGATGCATATTTCCAAACAGACTTTACTGAGAATACTGATTTGGTACAACACAAAACATAAGCTAATCACCGGAAAATTAAAGTATACTACAGTATTTATTACAGTTTATCAGTTCACTACAGTATGCTGTAGCATTCATTAACAAAGTGTTGTAAATACTATAATATATACAGTATAATACACTTTACTATAGTATGGTTCAAAAACACTATAGTATTTACTATAAATTACTATAGTATTTTTTCATGCCCCATTATTTATAATGCCCCATTCTGTTTTAGAAAATATTATATCCATGCACTTATAGCTGCCACACATCAATCCACAGAACAGACTCCTAAAGGACTTTCACATTTCCTTGGCTAGCTCTACTACTAGAGGACTGAAAGGAGGAATAGCATGTGCGCACATCAGCATTTGTGCAAGCCGTATAAACAGAACAGGGATAAATAGAGTCCCTAGCCAGCTGCTGGTCAGAAGGGAGGTGTTACACTGGTAAATGAAACTCATTCCTTTCCCTAACAACATGGCTAATGGCTAAGCTAAGCAGTTTTTAAGCTAAAAGGCTGTAAGGAAGAGATTGCTTCTTTATTATGTTAGCGAGCCACAAGCATGTTGCTCATGAATCATCTTTGCATTAGCTTTCCAAAACATTTCCGCTAGTGAGTAATTTTAGCATACTGTATGTAGTTCAGGTAGAGGCTAAATGCTAAGTCCAATCTGCTATATGATTAATCACATCTTGTTGGCTAAAGCCCACAGTATACTTTAATTGTTTTGCGCGTACATGCTAGGGTATGCATACAGTGTGCATGATGAAAATTTCATCATAAGCATACACTGTAAAAAAATTTTTTCAAAGTTGTAAATAAAACTGATTATGTTAGTATGTTTTACGAGAAAATACTATTTCAGTCTACCAAAATTTCACGTTTCATTCCATGTGTTACTTGAGGTTTCTATGTAATAAACTGTGAAATTTACTACTGTAGAAATTTCCGAGTGAAAATAGTTTTGAAGTCAATCCTACACCTTTTTTTCAGTGTAGTATATAACACGCATATTGTACATGTACAGCTTGTTTTTTCTAACCATGTATACATCAATCAATTATTAATTTTTTTGTGTCAGACTGCAGCAACTGAGTGTAAACACATTTTTATCAGTCATAACTTGTAGTAGGGCTGCACAATTTGGGGGAAGAGGGGGAATTGCGTTTTTTCTGATAAAAATTGTGATTGATCATAAGCTGCTCACGTGTAAACAGACACAGTGCCACACTTCACTTTGAAACATGAAGCACATATATTTATTTAATTATATCATAGCTTTGAGATTTGATAATCACACACTAAGCCATATACTGATTTTGGTTTTATTTCTATGCAGCCCTAATGTTTGGAGAGAAATAGCGCAAACACTGCACAAAGATGAAACTTTTTAGTGCGCATGCGTCGACCGCCTATGTTAGTGTATGCTATCAAATGAAGTATATGCATTTGGTTGTACGCATAGGATAAGCGTACATGTACAAAATGAAGCATACTTTGGGCTTACTGATGGAAAGACCACACCTATATGAAAGCTGAGCTCTTTACCAACATTACAACCACACACATGACATTCAGAGGTATATGCTAAAAAAAAATCAAGAAAGGAAGGATATTTCTATTTTAGCAGCATAAATTTAACACTGTTACCAGCCATTCAGAGAGAGACAACAAGCACAATAAACACAGACACCTGACAGGAAACACATCACACACATAAAAACGCACAAGTCGCAAGTGCCCACTGGAGTGCAGGGTAAGTATTTCTCTGAGTGCTTTCATCAATACTAACAATGTGAATTACGACTATAGTATTATGTGCTAAAACCTTGAATTTTAACCTTGAACTTTCACCCCGTGGCATGCCTGTTGCAGTCCCAGGGCACAAGCAGGTGCAGTGAACATGCACAGATAAGCATTCTCTCATCACTGGTAGCACTTTAAGTGAAAGGAAATCCATTCCATGTTCAGAACATGTCACTGCTGAAAATCATGTAAGTGCAGCTTACATAATGTTTAAGTTAAACCCATTTGACTAAAGAGCAACCAGTTGTGAGACATCAATATTCCAACAAATCCAAATACCCTATTCCCCTAACCCCCTTGCTGTGGCAACAACTTCGGCATCCCTGGCGATAGCAACAAGGAAGGGAGGGGGATGGGGTTCAGTCAACACATGCTAGTTTCCTATTAGCTGGCTCTCATGAGGAAATAATTGGTGTTGCTCATGCAGAATCTACAATACTCAAAATGTCTTACCCTGTCTTTCCCTATGAGACACTTTGCATGAACAGAAGACAAATAATGGACGCAATATTAATCAAATTTTGTTTGTGCTCAATATAGCAGAAAAAAGTAACTTTCAATCATAACACAATGTAGGGGTGTAACCACGGTGTCCTGGCCAAATTGCCCCCCTGGCCTTTGTCAATCATGGCCCCCTAATCCCCAACCACTTGATTGGCTCTATGACTCTCTCTCCTCTCCACCTGTAGCTGGTGTGTGGTGAGTGCACTGGCGCCATTGTACTGTGACTGCCGTCGCATCATCCAAGTGGATGCTGCACACTGGTGGTGGTTGAGGAGCAGTGTTGGGCAGTAACGCATTACTTAGTAACGCACTACTGTAATTTGATTACTATTTTAGTAACGGAGTAATTTAACACGTTATAATTTTCAAAATAGTAATTAGAGTATAGTTACAAGCCAAGGTCTCTATACATTACTGTTGCGTTACATTGCTGACAGAATGCAGTGTTTTATAATCTAGAGATTGTAAAAAGGATGTAGCACAAGTACTGTCGAGTCAAGTGCCAGTGGATTATAGACATGCTCCCGCGAGACCCGACGCCACAGCAGCGCGGGACAAGATGGGCGAGTGCTGGTGGGTAGACACTCGTCTGTGTGTGGGATGCGGAAGAATAAAATGATTCACGGGACTCCTGCAAAATAGAAATATCTAAACATAAAATATCTAAAACAAATAAATTGTTATTCATCTATTGCACAAAAGCAACATGAACTAATATAAAATATAAACGATTAACAGGTGCAAGCGTATGCAGAGTTTCTATTTAAGCTATAACACGTGTTCGCTGCGTTGAGCAATGCAGTGCTGAAATTTACGTGCTCACGAATCCTCTCATTATAACACACAAATTGTAGACATTATGAAAGATTCATAATGCATATATTTATTGTGTTATAACAGAGATTTATGAGATTGCGATGAACTGAGATGTCTTTTAGAGATTATAAATGCAGCGCTCTTTGCTGGCATTCTGTCATACTGTAACAACGCGCAGTTGTTCTATAGAACGTGGGGCTAACTGGAGCTAAGCTAGGCTACTAAACTGTTCCTAAGCTAATTGCTAACAAGTTGCTTGCATCTACACGTCGAGACTTTTAATTTGGTTATTGGAGAGTGCGAACACTC